TAAGAAAAAAGCAAAATATAAAGAATGTGGCATTCATGGTGTATTTGTTGTTAAATTCACACATGATATCAGACGTCATGTGTTAAAACTTACAGGTCTTAAGCACTCATTACAGATCTAGAACCATAACGTAACAAAGTTTTCACGGCAATAAAAATACATGCAGAGTGGCTTACACAGGCTGGAAAGAGAGGAAGTTCTGAAAAACCCTGCTCATGTGTTGAGGCCCAAGAGGGGCAGGTTTTTATTTATTTATTTTTGCTATTTGTATCCTGCCCAACCCCGCAAACAGGCTCAGGGCGGTTTACAGTTACATCATGTCATAAAACTATAAACAATTCCATAAAACAATAGTACATTAAGACATTCATTGCAACAAGATTAAAATTTTAGGAAAGTAATTCAAAATGTACCTATACCTAATGGCAGCTCAGCAGTTAGTTAAATTCCAGTGTATGCTAAGCTCATGCCAGGAAAGGTGGTGGATAACTCTGATGGAATTAAATCAACCACCATTTACATCATGGGCGCCATGGAGCGCTTGAAGCAGGGGAGGCTGATGTTATTTGATGCCCGCTGCCTCAACCAAAGGCCTGGCAGAACAGCTCCATCTTACAGGCCCTGCCGAACTGTAACAAATCACGCAGGGCCCGGATCTCAATCGGGAGCATATTTCACCAGGCTGGGGCCAGAGCCAAAAAGGCTCTTCGGGACACATACAGGGAGAGATGGTCCCATGGGTATATGCTGGCCCCTGACTGCATAGGACCTTAAAGGTTAATACCATAACCTTAAACCTGACTCGGTACTCAACCGGCCACCAATGCAGTTGGCACAGCACTGACTGAATGTGCACCCACAGAGATGTCCCGGTCAGCAGGCATGCCGCTGCATTTTGTACCAGCTGAAACTTCTGGATCAGGCTTAAGGGTAGGCCCACGTAGAGCAAGTTGCAGTAATCAAACCTGGAAGTGACCACTGTGTGCATTACTGTCACTAGGTCATGGGAGGAAAGGTAGAGAACCAGCTGCCTGACCAGCAGAAGATGGTAAAAGGCTGATCTGGCAACATTGGTGACCTGGGCCTCCAAAGTAAAGGAAGCATCCAGGATCACTCCCAAACTCCTCACCATTGGTGCCGGTGTCAATGGTGCCCGACCAAGGGCTGGGAGTCAGATTCCCGCACCCATCCTCACACAAGTCAGAAACAGGACTCCCGTCTCCAGTCAGTCACAGCCCCTAACACCCTAGCCAAGAGGACTAGGGCGAAGTCCAGCTAAAGAGTCTAAAGAGAATTATCTATGTCAACAGTTAAAATTTATAAAATATGTTTCAAAGAAAGGCTGCCCCACATAACAACAGAACATGAAAAGAGAAAATAAGAGAGGGACACAAGTACTGGTATCACAGTCCTTAAGACTTCCTAAACAAACATCTAGGAAAAAATGCACTGGTACCGCATCATGAGCTAGGATGTTACAGCAGAAAGGTACACCACCCTCTCCTAAGGAAAAAGACCTTCACACTATGGCAAGGAGCTATACAAATGAAAAAGTGGTCACACATTTCCACATTGGGGGCTGGGATTCAGTTTGAATGACTTGGCCTTTCCTTACACAATCCACAGTAGCAGCAGCTCAAAAAAGTGCTGCGGTCAATGTGAATAACAGAATGACTTCATAACAGAAGCCCCTGTATGTGAAAACACCAATTCACCTAGCCATGAATTCAGCAGCAGAGCCATTTGTGACTATATGTAGCAATCATTGTTGGGTTGTCTTTATGTATTAACTTGCTCACAATGCATAATACTTGGGTAGGCTAGCCCAATCTTGTCAGATCGCAGAAGCAAAGCAGGGCCAGCTCTGGTTAGTATTTAGATGGGAGACCACCTAGGATGTCCGGGGTTGTCATGCAGAGGCAGGCAATGGCAAACCACCTCTATTCAGCTCTTGCCTTGAAAACCCTACAGGGTTGCTATAAGTTGGCTCCAATTTTATGGCACTTTCTACCACCAACTACCTTAAGCAGAATCCACTGTAACCCTTCCCATCATCCTTCTGTATGGCATTCATCTTATGCTTATCTAGTTAACCACTATATCTAATAAGGGCCCTTGATGGAAGTAACCCAAAAAAGCAACCCACGGACAAAGAAGGAAAGCAACAGCCTGATAAGGGCTGAAAATGCTCCACTGGGGCAGAATTATGCAAGCAAGTGGAAGTAACTGTCAAAAGGAAGAAAAACAAACAAACAGAAAGAGGGTGGGAAATCAGTCTGCCCAAATTCCCAAAGAACTTATAAAAACCTAAAGACTGTGTGTGTGTGTGAGAGATTTTGAAGTTCCCAACACCTGCACGTGATTCCTTCCAGGCTCAGTTTACAAGACCTAATTTGCAGAGTTCACTGCAAAAAAGAAAATCTTTGTATTCTGACACATCAGAACCAGATATGAAAACTTGCAGAGATATAAAGAAAAATTAGGATACCCACCAATGGATCATCTATACACATCTGCAGCTTGAAACCTCAAGAGAAGGAACAATATGAGCTTTCCCCATCCCAGTCTTTCACACTATGCATCTCACTTTTTATAGTCACACCTGTAGGTTGCAGCCACCTAATTCAAATGTTCTTCTATCCAGTTTTCACTGTATTTTCCTTGCTTCAGTTACCCCAACTTCCATGTGCGTTTCAGGTTCTCACAATCAGAAATTGACATATCACCATAGCATTATAGGAATTTATTGCCACCATCCACTAGTTTTTCTGGATTCACAGCTTTCATTTTTTTTAAAGGTATGTCTCCTGCACTTATGTTGCAGCTCTGCAATGAAAAGGGCTAGAGACTTTGTTTGAGGTACAAGTATATGCAGAATAATAAATAAGCATATTACCTAAGCCAACATCCAAACACCAACAGTAGTCTGTCCTGAAGACTGTAAAACAAGTGTTTAAGGGTACAAGGTGATTGAGTTGAAGACCAATTACATCTTCTATTAGTATGATTTTAGGACACCAGGTCAACCCTGTATACCCTGACCATAGTAGTACAATTTAGCCAGGCTTAAGAACCAATAGCTGGGCAGTCCACCTATATTTGCTAGCATCAAATCCCATGGCCAAACAGCCTACAAGTCAGGTATGTAGTGCAATGTACGTGTGCGTAGAGGAGAATATTTCAGTGAAACAGATTTCACTTGGATGCCTTCTGAACCAACCACCCTTTCTTCCCCTTTGCTTCCATCCCCATTCAACAGGAACATCTTCCTTTTTTACAGATGAAACATCATTTCATAGAAACCAAGAATTTAAAGTTATTCTTTGAGAACAATGAAGACATTGTTACAAATAAAGCTTACTGACTTAGAAAGGTATAACTCTGCTTAGAATAGCACTGTGACTTAATAACGTCAGTTATTATTGCAGAAGTGAGGCCATACTTGTTATCAACCACAGCATATTTTGGCCTCCTCCGTGGTAGTTTCCAGCATATATCAATCCATTTTGTTATACAGTTGGTGCGCTCTGTAGAAAATTATTAGCAAGGTACAAAAATGTTAATGCATGTTTTCCTTGACGTACATGCTATCACTCAAAATGTAAAACTTTTAGGAATTGTCCTGAGAAACATACTCACAGTAAAGCTGCTATTTACAAAACATGGGGGAACTAAAATAACTTCAAAATACTCCATTGTGAAGGGTTCCTCACTGTTTACAAAGCACACATATTCAGGAAACTTCAAATGGGATAAGATCCAGGTTACTTTGCTGACTGCATTTACTTTGAAGACAGAAGTCTTGCTGGCAGAGATCAGCCATTGTTCTCTGTCAGATAGTGCCCTTAAATAGTAACCATACCCCTTCATTTTCAAAGAGCCAAAGCAATGCAAGTGTAGAACTAAACTCCTGGAAACCATTATTTGCAAATAGTACCAATTACATAAATAGGGCTTCAAGAAATGTTACCAGGACTAAGGTCCCTGATGAATAAGCACTGTCATAAGATATAACTAATGTATTTTGTTCACAGCCCATGTCCACTGCAACCTGTCCGTGGACTAACTTTCCTGGTTTGTGACTCATGTCTTCTACAGTTAGTCACTGGTTAAAAACAAACAAATAGGAGCCCAGTGATAGTAGATCATTAACAAAGTGAAGCTGACCTATGCTCCTCAAAAATCTTTTTATTATTAACTGATTATAGTCTTACAAAAAGAAGGTGGTACTGAAAAAAAAGCAGCAGATAACACAAAACTGTTAAGAGCCAGAAGTGTACTTTATTGTTCTGAACAAACTAAGATTTCAGACAAAAATAAGATTTCAGTTCAAAGTAGTTTTTGTGCTGGTTCCAACTGCTGTGAAACATTTTTTGTGAGTACATAATTCAGGAATACAAATATGCATCTGTAAAGAATTATGGTACCAACACACAAGCACAGGTAGGTGTATTCCAGTCCAGGTAAACCCACAAAGAAGCATCTCAGACTCTGCAGAAGGATCGCTATATCATATGAAATATATTCTTTTTAAAATGTTTACAGATTCCTGAGCCTCTATGACACCTCTGCCCTTTTCCATTCATTTATTTTCTTGATGGAAAACCTCTGACTTTCCAAGTTTTTGCAAGTGTTGAAACAAATGCAAAGAAGAAAGGGACTAGTACAATCTTCACAGCACTCCATTGGTAAAATATCAAAGTACTGCACAAAAGGTCTACCAGAAGAACATCATTTGATGGTTGGAGGAAAGTATATTAGGAGGGAATTGTGTTGATTTTTAAAGCTTTCGTTAAAGAAAAACCAAATGGCTTTCCATATAAAATAAAGGCCACGTGATGCGTTAGTACCGTAGTACTCTCAGAGAGAGATTTAATTCCTCCTTTATTGTAAGTCTTATCATGCACATAAAAGTGAAGCTGACCTGTGCGCCCCAAAAAACATTTTAGTATTAACTAGATATGGGATTATAATGGAAGAGCCCTTTTGGTACTGCCAGGTCAGAACAAAGACTTGCATTCACCTTGCGAGCTCTCTGAACTGCTGTTGCTTGAATGACTGCTTTGAACAAGCGATGTCTTCATTTCCATTTCACATGCAACAATGGCTGCATTCAGCTCCACTTGAGCTCGGTGGACAACATAAAACATGAGGCCTATACTTATTAGAATCTGCGGACAAAACAGAAGTTGTAATATGCAATACTTTCAACTGTAGTGATGAAAGCAAGAAAAATATTTCATGTAGAAGGAAAAAGGATAAGTTACTAAACAGCTTTTCTAGGTCACTTTAGTGGTGACTACATAAACATATATTAAAGAGAATACAAGCCCGCACAATGGCCAGGAGGAAAACTACAAAACATCTGGGACTGTACAGTGGTCTCTCCTACTCTTTGCACCTGTTTATAATGTTGTGTGAATCTAATTGCATGCATGACTTCAATAAAGTCTGAAACAAATGCAAATGCTGTGTGATGTTAAGAGCCACAACAATCTCTAAAAAGCAAATTAAGTAAAACTAACAGAAGGGTTTCAAGTTAGATGAAGGGGTACATATCATTGCCACATTCACTTCTCTCCCCCAGAGGCAAGATTTTCCCTCCATTTTTCCTTCCCTTTACTGACTGAGCCGCCCTAGTAATGTGTTTTCTTCTTTGCTGATGAACTCTGACTGTCCCACCCTGTCACAGTATGATATTTTGGCCCCAAGAAACTGAGGGAAGAACCAGAAGCCCACTTAAACAACTTAAATGGCACTCAAGGTGTTCTGAAATTCAAAAATAACAAAATATTTTAACACAGAGGAGAAAGGTCAGGTAAAATGAGGGACTGGAATTTCTGAGGTAAAAGCAGTACATGCACAGACTTTAGTTCTTATGTTTCAGGCTACTGAGAGTTTCTTAAGCTTTTCACAGTGACTTAATGCTTAGAGGCTTTTGGTTCCAGTGTTTTCCAAATACTCCAGCTCACTTTCTTTGAGTATTCTCTGACTCTTTTGGTTTCCAGAAGGCTGGTACACTCTTTATTGTACACAAACCCCTTCTCTTGAGACACCAGTACTTGTCATGAGTTTTTAACTGACTCTTAAGGTCTCTAAAGGCAGTTTCTAACCAGACCAGGGATCTCTGCACTCTTCAGAGTTAACTCCATGTTTGACTGGGCAGGGAGTAGTGGTTTGTGTTTGGTGTAGTGGTTAAGTGTGCGGACTCTAATCTGGGAGAACTGGGTTTGATTCCCCACTCCTCCACTCACAGCTGCTGGATGACCTTGGGCAAGCCACAGTTCTGTCACAGGTGTTCTTGAAAAGAGCAGTTTCTGTCAGAGCTCTCTCAGCCTTGCCTACCTCACAGGGTGTCTGTTGTGGGAAGGAGAAGGGAAAGGGGGTTGTAAGCCGCTCGGAGACTCCGAGTGAAGGGCGGGGTATAAATCCAATCTCTTCTTCTCTTCCTCTCACTAGATCTATCCCCTTTCTTTGGCCCGAATGGGAGTCTTCGCCTACTTCCCAAACTTCCTTGCCAACTTTCTCCCAGTTCTCCATCTGTGTTACTGCTCTCTGCTAGGGCTGAAATCAGACTCAACTCTGTCAAGGCAGAACTCTGACTGTCTCCTCAGCATGCAGCTCTCGAGTCTTTCTCTGCTCAGCTGATGCTAACCAATCAGACTGGAGCAGCTTGACACTCAAGGCTCTAGTCGAATCCGACTCTAGGGGGCAGTGCTCATCTCCATTTCCAAGCCAAAGAGCCAGTGCTGTCTGAAGACATTTCTGTGATCATGTGGCTGGCATGATTAGATGCTGGGGCGCGTGGAACGCTGTTACCTTCCCACTGAAGCAGCACCTATTTATCTACTTGCAATTTTTTGCTTTTGAACTGCTAGATTGGCAGGAGTTGGGGCCAGAGATGGGAGCTCACTCCATCACGCGACACTCGGGCCTCGAACTGCTGAACCACAGACCTTCCCATCTACAGCTCAGCGTCTTAACCTCTGAGCCATCACAGCCCCTATCTTATTTACTTCTTAATTACTGTTTTCACAACCAGAGTCAAAAACAGCAAATGAAAGGGTATCAAAAGTGTTTTAAATCAAAGTTCTAGCTAAACAAAACTCTTCCAATGCCACTTTCAACAGACTTGCATCTGTTATCTAAAGCTGACAGGTAACACTTGTCTTAGTACAATTTGTTCTTTTGACTGAAATCTTACCAACAGAACCAGAGAAGGCAGATCTAATAACATTATGGTAAGACAACCCAATGGCACTGTACTACTTGGTATTCCTGTCAGCATGTGATTAGTTTAACACAAGGTGAGGCCTGAATGTCAGGCCTAAAATAAGTTGCTTCTTGCCTATCTACTCATGAACCTCAGCAGTCTACTGTTGTTGTGTAATTGTCCTATAGCACCAACCATTGAGGTTGTGGGCTGAAAGTTGCTTATATAGGTTCAAACCTGAATAGTGAAGTATGGCAGGTGCGTGTGTAGTATTTTGTTATCTGCTTTGGGCTCTGAGTTGTCAGGTGAAAGGACTGGGAAAATGAAAACAAACATCTGTCAAGATTACAGAAGATCCTAGGCCAGATCTTAAGCAAACTTATTTGGTTTCAGGAAAGGGGACGGAAGGGAAAAAAATGAATTCCATCAGTGTTCTGTTCTCTCTTACCCTGGTAGAAGTAGAAATCAAGAGTATCACTGGGAAATTGATACTATCCACTTTATCTTCAATATTCTATCATGAAGAAATAGCCTTAAGAGCTGACTTTTGTGAGAGACACTAGTAACTGTGGGGGGAAAGGGTTCTTCCTTAGTCTTAACTCTTACACAAGTGACAGAAGCAATGGAAATGTCTAAAACACCTCTATTTCAATATTTTCAAATTAGGATGTTGAGCACGGCATGTGAACAGAGCCAACAACAGAGGGAGTAAAACATGGAACTTGTGCAAGAGGCAAGGCGGGAGGGAGCATCTTTTTGATTAGGGCTGTGTAGCTGAGCAACTGCTTGAGTTTTAGCTATGTTGCTGCAGTTTGCTACAAGCACATGGTCCTAGTAGGAGAAGCTCTCACTCTTGCTGAGCGTTCTGAGGACCTGCTATTGCCTAAAAGAGATACAGGTCCCAACAGGAAGCAGAGTTACAAAAGGCCAAACTAAATGTGACAGAGAACTAACGGCTGCCAAAAGTTTGCCGTTGCCATTTTAAAGTGGTAGAGAACTCTTCCCCACCACCACCACCCCATGCCTTCTCAAGTGCTAAAAGACCTGTAGGAGTTAAAGTGTTAAAAGACCTGTAGAAGCACTTCAAGTGTTAAAAGATCTGTAGGAGCACTTGAAAAAGAATGGCCTTGCGGCATTTAAGAATCTCTTTAAAATTGTGACTTCCAGTTTATGGCGCAGCGATGGCGGACATTCTCCCAGGACCGTGGGGGAACAATCCGCACACCTTTGGGATAGGCTCCAGGCCAGAGGGCTTTTGAGGGGTAGCCTCTTCGATGGCGTAAAGCCGGAGAATTGAGGCTCCCCTCCGCCCTGACAGTCCAGCCGCTGCGTGGCCTTCAGGTACAAGCTGGTTTGACTGGGACAAGCGCTGGAGATTGAGCGGAACAGCGTTGAAGCAAGCGAGGTCAGAGAAACTGACCGACAATTAACGTGAGTTCAAACTAAGCGGACGACTATAAAAAGCAAATTACCCCCACACACACACCATGGGAAAGTGGATCTCAAAGAGGGATGCCTTTTATGCGAAAAGACTGATAAGCGAGACAAAGGGGGAAGGGGGAGGAAAAACAGCGAGTGTGTTTTGAGAGGCTTACTTGATTGCTGACAATGTGGGAGCGATCTTTAGAGTCAGAGGGAAGCGGCAGAAACTGTAAACAAATCATAAAAAATGGCGGCTGTGCAAAGAAAGCTGAAAATGAAACCGCCTGGCAGCCAGAGCAGACGTCATGAAAATGCTAGCGGATATGCTCAAGCCAGTGATGGAGCAACTCGATGGTATTAACCAGCAACTGACTGTAATGAATAAAAACTTTGCATCTCAGCAGCTCCAACTGAAAGAAACGGAGAAGAAGGTGGAGCAGGCACCTGGGAAAATTAAGGAGTTGGACACCACAAGGAAGAAAATGAAGAAAACGATGGGAGAAGTGGAAACAAAGCAAAATCTACAAGAAAACTGTTTGTTACAGCTGCAGATGGAAAAAGCCAACATGATTCTCAAATTCCAGGGAGTTCCTGAGGCAGAGAAGGAGGATCTGAGGAAGATACTTAGCGAGATCATCGCTCCAGCAATAGGCTTAACAGCGGATGAACTGGTAAAAGAGATGGAGAAGGCTTATAGGGCTTACTCCAATTATATTTAAAAAAATAGCCTTCCTGGAGAAATTGTGGTCAGATTCTCAAGAAGACAGACCAGAGATGCTATTTAAAAGGCGACATTAGCAACTCCACTGAAAATGGGAAATTTAATCATTAAAACTTTAAAAGACATTCCATTTGAAATTCGTCAAAAGAGGAAAAACTATAAGGACTTAATTTCTTTTCTTCAAACTAATGGAATTTCGTATAGGTGGGCGATCCTGGAGGATGCCATCTTCAAGATCAATGATCCGATCTAAGAGGATTCTGCGGCAGAAAAGGGTGCAGGACCTGCCAGAGTGGTATATGATTTTAGAGACAGAAAGCTGAAGTAAAAGCAGAAGGACTTGGAAAATGGCCTTTTGAAGCGAAGAATAAGAAGATGATCAGAGACTTCTCTCATAACAACTAACAAAATAACATATAAATAGTGAATTGTTATAAGCAAGAACTCTACAAGTATATTGTGCTATAGTACTAACATTTTTACTAACAGTGAAAAGATCTCCTCCTCTTGGGGTTTTGGTTTAGTGTGGTTTGCTTTCCTTTATCCTTAGTTGTAGTCCCTTCCCTAATATTTCTTTGTAGTTTTTGCAGTATTTGCAAAATAAAATATATCCCTCCGGGGATTTAAAAAAAAAGGGGGGGGAGAGAATAACTTTAAAATTGCAAGAGCAAACTCAGGGCAGCCATGAATTCTCCATCTTGGCTGCGGTCACACACACTAAAGAATCCACTTTCAATCCACTTTCCAACTGGATTTTTACTGTGTGAACTGGCAAAATCCACTTTGAAAGTGCATTGAAGGTGGATTGAAAGTGGATTGTTTAGTGTGTGTGACCGCAGCCCTTGTTTAGTTTGGTGATGCATCAATGGTTACTAGCCACCATCTATAGAGGCAGCAAACCTCTGAATACAAGTGCCAGGAGGGAACAGCAGGGGAGGACTTTGACCTATATGTTTCACTCTCCAGGGCTGTTTGAAACAGTAAACTGGACTGGATGGATCAGCAGTCTAATCCAGCAGGCTCTAACTTGTGTTCTAATGGCACTGCTGGAAAAATATCAACCAATGAGGAATAAATTAAACATTGAATTTTTGGTACAACAAAAAGACTGAGAGTTACATAAATCCCTGACTCTGGAAAACAAATTTGTAGTTTTCAGAGAAAATGGAATAGAGATTTTGCAACAATCATATTAACAGAAGTAGATTTGATCTAAAATGCACTCTAAATATGTCATCATCAGATTTAAGGGTAAACTTTCATGCAAATACTAATTTTGGCACTACAAGAGGTCTGCAGAAAATCCTATGCATATATTCTGGCAATGTCCAATAACAGAAAAAGTTTGGAGGAAAGTTTTGGAATTAATGACAAAATGACAGAATACAATCTTCCAGGGCATCCTAAAGTAATTTCTGATGTTTTTACAAAATGTAGCTCATAACGAATATTTATAAACCGTTGAGTTCAATTACTGCAGCTCATATGTGCATAGCCTCCTGTTGGGAAAAAATCCCCCTGCTTGTGCAGAGTGGTATAAAAAGATTTGGGATATCATGTTAATGTCCAAATTCATTCACTATATAATGGCAGGTAATAATTTACAAAGTAATACATGTACTGGGAGGTTGGCATCGGTATAACAAATATCAAGATCATGTTCACCAAATTCACCAAATTTTCTTTGCAATTTGGAAGACTGTTTCTTTAAATCTGAAGCCGCATGTTATACTCTTGAAATTTAAAGTTACATGCATTGCAATGTCTTATATTTTGTAATTGTTGGTTTTAACTGAATGTTGGTTTTAAATTGCTTGTAAGCTGCCCTGAGCCGCTTCGGCGGGAGGGTGGGGTAGAAATTAATTAAATAAATAAATAAATAAATAATCTAGGTTTAAAACACACACACACATCAGACCGTAATAAACTCTGAAAAAGCAGTCGCAATTGTTGAATGAAGCCTAACCACCAACCGCTTACCTGTAAACTAAATATGAAATAACCACTAACACTTTGTTCTGCAATAACATCCTCCATTGTGCGCAAGGTGGTGCCCAAGTAGGAGTTTAAGAGCTGAGTTGGAAGCAATCCAATGGAAGAAGCCATCAGATAGTTAGGTAGTGAGAGATCTGTTATCTAAGAGAAGACAAATAAAAGAAATGAGTGAGATTTGCACCATTTAAAATGTTTGATTACTTTCTACTCTAAAGAATATCATCTCAAATAATGTAATCTAAGATGTAATTCTGGGAGGAAAAGAAAAAAAACAATTTTGCAGACAAGTAGGACATGTTGAATCATTTAAAAGGTTCAAAAACTAGAAAGGCTGAATGGGGCTTGTGACAGCAGCATCATTCCCTGACTCCACATATCCTTCCACCAATTCCAGAATTCCATGTCCTTTTCTCATTCTTCTCCACCATCCAATGGCTACTATATATGCATATATGGAACTTCTCTATATTGAACAAGACCAATCCAGAGTCTCAACCAGAGAAAGGTTTATCTCAGCATCTGCTAGCAGAGATCCTTTAACTGGAGATGCCAGGGACTGGACCTGGGATTTTTTGCAGACAAAGCACATATTCAACCACTGAACCATGCCCCTGCCAGAAACAGAAATGCATCAATTTACAGTATTATGCATGGAAAATTAGTTTCCATTTACAAAAGCTAAATTATTTTTTATTTAAAATTATTTAGCATTTTACAAAAGCTAAATTACTGAACTACTCAAAGCTATACACAAATAATACACCTATAATCCACAAAACCTCTATTTATAATTAACCTAGTTATAAATTTTGGTTTAAAAAAAACACACACCACCTGCACTCACTGTACCCTGAACTATGTCTGCATCCAAACCTGGTGGACTGGGGATTGTAATTTTTCTGCCTGACTGCTCTGTGAAATGTATATTGGAAACACAGCATTCTTAAGAAATTCAGATTTTTATAAGAGCAATATCGAACAACTTTGCTTGAGTCTAAACTACCACCAAAAAGAACAAACTAGCCCAACAAAAACAGATAGCATCATAAGAACTTCTTGGGTCAAATTATCCAATCACTAATAAGGAAAAGACAACGATATGAGCATTTAGACCTTTAATAAGCCATGTGTCAAGGTCTCAGGCAAACAGGAACTTAATATAATACTAAGCTGATTATCAGACTATTTTTTCACACTTGGTATTCTCCTATCCAGATACTAATTAGGATCGACCCTGCTTTACTTCTGAGATCTGACGAGATCAGGTATCTTTTTTTAAAAAAAACAACAACACCTTAACAGCATTTCCTGAAAATGTCTTACTTCAGACTTTAGCAAATTTTAGAGAAAATCAAGTTGTAAATTCTACGTAGTGTGGATAGCACATATAAGTGAACATGGTGGTCTTAGATAATCTTGCAATAAAATGTAAAATAAGATGAAATAAACTATGTAGTTATAAATTCAAGTTGTACTATTTACATTAATTCCAAAGATAAATTCAACAATATCACCATCAAAACTAACAAGGGCTATCACAGTCACAGGGTTCAAAATTTGAACTTCTGGTGATTAAATGTATTTTGAAGTGTAATCCAGTGACAAGAGTAATAAACTGAATAAATCATTTGGGTAAGATTTTTACATATTTTAAATAGCTAAACATTTTTAAATACTTTATAAGCATTAAAATACAAAGCTGAGATACAACTGAGTGAATATTCAAGCATTTTGGATTGCTGTGCAATAAACCCTTTTTCTGGCAAAGGTACACAGCAGCAAGTAAACAAGCAGCAGCTGAAACAGGAATTATTGAGGAGCACAGCCAAAGAAGGCAAAAGATGAAATTCCAACAGCTACAAACAAGTAATAAAGACCGCAAGCACTTAATTGCATAGGATTTTGGCCTGAAAAAGGATGATGCTCACAAAGCCTTTCTTCAGAGTCTAAACTACCAACTCACTAGAAAAACCCAAACAAGTATTAACACTCCCTCTTATTTCAAACCTACAAATTGAAACTGTACAAGTGAATTTTAGAGGCTGGTTATTACCCACATGAAAAAATTCCACCCATTGGATTTATAAAAAGATAGAACAGATTCATTATTCTTGTTGAACCTATCGTTGTTTGTATAGACAGCTGCAAGCAGGATCCTTTCCACACTAGACCTTAAATCCTGGTTCAACCCTGTCCCTGAACTTACATTCTACACTACACGCAAGTTCACCCCTGTAATTATCTCAGGGTATTTTTTGTTTCCACATTACATTGAGGTCACCCCAGTTTCACCCCACACGTGTCCCGGGATAAACAGATGCTGTTATAACCAGGGATAAATGCAAGGTACTGTGTCGCGAGTTGAACTCTGATAAAACCATGGATGAGATCCAAGTGCGGAAAGGATCCAGGTCTCTCCATTTACTGCAATTCCAGTAGGTGTAGAATTATATATGACAGCCAGATCAGATTCCCTAGCAATGCAAGCTGCTCCAAGCTGTGCAATCATATTTAACAATATATTAGAAATTGTCTCCAAAATGCCCTGATGTTCACATACAGAGGTTTCATATAACTCATAACTATTTGCCCTTTTCCTGCTCCCTGGATTCATGGTCATCTACCATTCCTTACACATGCCTCTGCCTCCTGATATGACATTGGTTAACCTCAATTATACATTTCACAATAAATGATGCAAACTGAACAGGTTTATGTACGACTACCACTACTCTTATAATATTAAACCAGCACAGGAAAGTTAATAGAGGATTGAGAATGGACCAGGAAAACCTGAGTGCAAATCACACAAAAGCCACTGGGTGACTGTGCACCAGATAGCATCCCTATACATATGTAGATCTTAGTTCTTTGGAGAAAAATTAAAAACACAAGAAATTATTTTCAATACACAGGTTACTTACTGAAGTAATTTTTAACCAGTCATTTAACCCATTTTTAAGAAGTGGCATTTATGCACAAATTAGATTTTTGGGAAGTTACTTAGAACTGGTTAAGGTTAAGAGCACCCAATTACAAAGCAAAGCACTACTCAAGCCACATACTTGTCAGGACTGGTTATAAGCTTTAAAAATAACTGAGAATGATAAACATAACAGCTGGGGGGGGAGGCTTTTGTTTTCCATACCTATCTATAATTGAAATTAAGAGCTCCTGTTTGTTAAGAACTTAAGAAGAAATCAGCTGGATCAGACCAGTGGTCCGTCTAGTCCAGCATCCTATCTCACACAGTGGTCAACCAGTTCATCTAGAGGACCAACAACAGGGCATAGAGACTGAGATGTTCCCTGATGTTGCGTCCTGGCATTGGTATTCAGAGGTTTATTGCCTCTGGAGGTTCCCTTTAGTCACCATGGCTAATAGCCACTATTAAACCTATCCTCTATGAATCTGTCTAATCCCCCTTTTAAAGCCATCTATGCTGTGGCCATAATATCTTACTACTTCCACTAAGGGTGTTCAGCCTTTAGTGGTGGCTCTATCACTTAACAATGAAGATTTATATATATATTTTTTTTTAAAAAAAAGGTTTTGTTACAGCAGTTCAGAAGTGCATGCACCAAAAATACGAATTTAATTTGTGAGTTTGACAGAGTATTTTTATTGACAAGTATACAAAAGCAAGGTTCCATCTGATGACTTTTGTTGAAATCTAGGACATGATGGAAGAATACACAGGAGAGATTCCTCGCCAGGAGGATGGAACTTACAATCTCTCTCTGCCTTTTTAAAAATTAAATTAGAAACCAGATATGCTAAGTAGGACACTCATTAAATTTATTGTACTTGGAAACTATCACAGGGATAAGTTGAGCACCTCCGGATAACTTGAAACGTTTGCAGACTACCACTAAGAAGTTATCTGCATAGAACAAATTAAAAAAAATTGGCTGAGAATTAAATACAGCACAAGCTTTGTTATCTGATACTCATGAGAAATGTGAGCTGCCAGTTAATCAAGCTTGCTCCTTAGGGTTGCCAGGTCCCTCCTGGGCACCAGCAGGCAGGGTTGCCAGATCCAGGCTGGGAAACTCCTGGAGATTTGGGATGGAGCCTGGGGAGCACAGGGACCTTAGTGAGGTACAATACCATAGAGTCCAACCTCCACAGCAGCCATTTTCTCCAGGGGAATTTATCTCTGTAGGTTGGAAATGAGCTGTAATTCTGGGGGATCCCCAAGTCACATCTGGAGGTTGGCATCCCTATTTCGCTGCCCTATCCCTTACTCAGAGGAATCCGCCATAACCAATTATCACCACCTGTGAATGCCTGGTGTGGCCCTTCCCCTTCACCCCAAGCGGGCATGAGGTGGTCACCTGCTCAGAAGCCCTTTGGCAGAGCTGGCTCCCAACATCTTGAGGCAGGCTGAGGGGGAAGTAGGAACCTGAGGATGACTTCAGCTGGAAGCCTGGGCTGTCAGAAGCCCGGCAACAACTGGAAGAATTGGGGGGAGGCGGATGGGTATGGTGTACAGGGGTATGGTGACTGAAGGGGAGGGTTTAATGGAGCGATCTGGATAATCAAGTGCCCAATGACAGTGCTTTAAACGTATTACGTGACAAGAAAGAGCACATACAGGAAAGAATTAGCAATATGCAGGAAAGTCACTGATGTTTCTAATTATAGATTTTAAATACTGTTAGATTCAAACTCCCCTTCTACAAGGTGAACTTCAGTTTTTCAAGATGGGACAGAAATTTCCACCGTGTGGGCATTACCCCTTCCAACTACAGACCCTCATGCTGCATCCCATGCCATCCACAAACCACACATCAGCCCATGAATTTCACATAAATATTCTAAAATTATATAATTACTGCTTCAGAACTGCTCTGGAGATCAAGACCTGTGTTGCCACCCAATGTGACCAGTGAAAACAATGTGTCAAAAATTAACAAGATGACCAATTAACACAGAAATTAAAATACATGTGCCCAAATGTCTAAGAAATATTTTCCAAAGCTAGTTTATCCTGACCTGGCATATGTGCTACTAAGCATTTCCCAGACAGTCAAACACCTCATATCTCTGCTGGAGAGCTGTTATACAGCTGCAGCTGCCAAAAACTCCATAATCTTTGACCTGTCCTGTTAAGAGACTTTTCTCCAGACTTAATAAAT